CATCCGTATATAAGAGGTTTAACACAAAATCTAACCATATCAAAATTAAAATAAGAATTCATTAGTAGAACAAAACGCGAAAAGGGAAAATGTACAAAATTATAAATATATAAAAATTAATCTCATTTTACTTAAACTTCAGTTCAGAACTCATCGGAAAAAATGATTTAAAGTTTCATAAAAGTCGATTAATATGTTTCGAAAACATGCTTCGTTCTCTTGGTTTATTTGAGATCAAAATCCGCAAAAAGATTCAATTAAATTTTCAAAAGACGTTAAAATTTATATAATATCGAAAAATCGAATCTCAAATGTATCCAGAATTTTCCCTACACGCTTTCGAAACACTTGGAGAAAAGAATAAAACATTACTTAATGCCGAACTGACTACTCAAAAAAAATCTGATGTGTACACCACATGACTTCCTTGTACGGAATATTAAATTATAAGCACTTTTTCTTGCATTTCATTTAAACTTATTGGATTGAATTAAATCTACTTCGCCGACAGCGCATAAACCACAATAGAATAAATGCATTCTTTAAAATTCACTCTAGTATTTGTTTACCATAGAGACACTCTGGCGCTAGATTCACTTAACAGTATTAATAATTATATAACAGTTAACTTATATAATAATTATATAACGGAAGCCAAGTTAACTGTTATATAATCCAATAATTATATAACAGTTAACTTATATATTTCGTTCATATTATAACTTATAATGCACAAAATTTATATCATTTAAAGAATAGAATTATCTAATCGTTGCCACGTGTTCTATTCAAATACTATAATAAAGCTAGAATCATGTATAAAAGAAATTAAGCAAAAAGAAACACTTTTTCACAGACGATTGAGTATTTCTCATTTAATTAATTCAGTTCTCACTTCGCGAGAAGGCAAAAATACATAAAACCTCAAAATATCTATATTAAAAATTACGAAGTGAAATCTTAAACACTTATCCTCGAAAAAAATTCCAGAAAGAATTAAGCATGATTTAATTGGCAATAATAAATGAATGCGTTATCTTTGTTGTTGCGAAGCTCATTTTCTCTAGATTGGCAACAAATCCACTAGTCTCCTGTTTCAAATGTAATCAATGGCCGCCATTAAAAAAAGGCTTAGCGGCACTTAGACAACTTTAAAATTGTTGATAATTCTAAAAATATTGCATATAGATTTACTAAAGGCACAAAAACCTTAACCGGAAGATAAAAACAACATAATACAATCATTTTTAAAGCAAAAAATGTACAATTTACAAACATATAAGAGTAAAGAAACTGAGATCACTGAGCCGGGTAACAGAGTGGATATATACATAAATATATTTATATACGTTTGGTTGGTACGGCCGATTGCAACCAAAATACGAGGTGCACATCTACATGTTATAGCAGTGTCCTATATACAAAATTTCAACGTCCTGAGGCTACTCGTTTTTGAGTTATGCGAGATACGTACGTACGCACGTACGTACATACGTTTTTACAGACGCACGAAAAATTCTCTTCAGAATTAATTTTAAAGCAGTTTTATAATTTTTAAAGGAAAAGAGTATTTTATTCTGTCCTTACGTGCAGATATCACGCAAAAACATCGTTAAATTGCATTCGATAGCGGTCAAAATGGGTATTTTCTTTGAAATATGCTGCCTGAAACTTTCCGCGATTACAATACTTCCTTTTTACTTCGTACAAGGAAGTAAAAAGAAAAAAAAAAAAAGAAAAAAAACATAAACCTTTACATTATGCAAATTGACCATTCAGAAAAACAAATTGGTCTAAAAACAATATATGTAAATCCGATATTCAAAAGAATTTACAAATAAAAAGCAAAACAAATATACTTTAAATCAAACTGTCGCTTAAACAACACTCAAAAATTGAGTATTCCCCCTATTATGGTAACCTAAACTTTTAATGCCAAGAAAACGAAAATCTTTTCACAGAGATTTCTATAAAAAATATTATCTAATCTGAGCCTCAAACAGCTAAAATCGGAAGACTATTATTTGAAACAAAAATTGAAAAAAACACAAACTTAACTGAATTCTTAAGACGACCAAACTGTGTTCCTTGTAAGAGAAAGTTGAACTCAAGTATACTCCAGAGAAGCCAAAACTTTGCTCAGTCATGATCTTAGGTTTGAGGCAGAATTTATTCCGGAACGTGTCGTCTCGCCTCTTTTTCCTCCCATCCCGAAACTATTCGCTATTGATAAGACATAGCTGCTATCTTTCGTAGCATTTTGTTTCTTGGTATTTTTATTGTTTATATATAAATCTTTTCAAAGTCGTTACAAAAATATGTGAACACCCTCTGTGTTTATAACTATTTTATAAAGAAGATAATTCTTGCATTAAGAGTTACTCAAAAATTATCAATGAGCCACGTGTTTGTCCACGTGTTCTCTAGAACAGCGGTCGTCAATCCTTAGAACTTCGCGGACCACTACATATATATAATTTTACACTTGGTGGAATACTAATATGAATTAAGAAAAAGGTAAATAAATACATTTATGCAATAATAATCAGCCAACTACATATATTTCGTTCACACTACTGAAAAATTATGAAACATACAAAAATCTTACCTTCTTGTACAGAAAGCTTAACGTTTCCATATCACTGAAAAGGACCTTCACGAAAAGCAAGAAAGAACCGGCAAACGCAGAGCAATATCAATAAACTGACAGTGTTATGCCGCCAATTTTTAATTATTATAAATATAATAATCAGCGCTTACTCAGTAATTGCGCCATTGATCAACAATTAGCCAAAACAAAAACGGAAACTTCCAGTGATGCAATTATAAACAGGAATGCTGATGGTTCTCACAAAAATCCACCAAGATGCCTATTGACACGGAGAAAAACTGTGTTATTAACGACCACAATACCATATGTTTGTAATTCAAACGGAAAAAGAATTCAAGTTCGCGCTATTGTTGTTAATAGGAACATATCCATGGAGGCTAACTCTCACTTTCAAATGTCGCTAGATATACCTGCAAAATTACCTAAAATGCCGCTAAATTCAGAAGGAATTTCGCTAAAAGTAGTAGCTAAATTTAAAAAAAAAGTATAATCCATATTCCAAAATAGGTTTTGCTAGTCGTCATTTTTTAAACCGAATCTTCATAAAAATATAAATAATGTCCCAATTTTTCTGCGGACTATTAAAAGGTTTTCACAGACCACCGGTTGGCGACCGCTGCTCTAGAATTATCTCTTACTTTTCTGGGGGGAAGAAGAGACTAACATCTCTATCCAGCCATGTTGGCTGTAAGATGCTTCATGTTGTAAAGATACATTTACCATCAAATGTTGGTGGATAATTTATGGAGTAAAAAAACGTAAAGCATGTTTATTACAACGTATCTCAGCGCCGACCGATGTGAGACACGAATTCAAAATTAATAATGTGTTGTTAATACAAGATGACAAATTACCTTCGCAAAAGTGGAAACTTGTATTATCATAGACGTATACTTATGGCAAGGTAACATAACTGTATTTTAAACATTGCAGAGTTTGAAAACCCATTCCACACTTTTATTATTTTGGACGTTAAACTATTTTCCCTATAACTGATTCATTTAAATGATAAATCTTGCTGTAAAGCAGTGTTCAAAGGCGGTACTAAGGAATCGTTTTCTATAAGCACATCCTTTGAGTTGTTTTGAGTTGTTCCACTTCAGACACAAACTCATAGATATAATGCATATCAATGAGCTCAGCGTTGTGCATACCTTTCGAAATCGCACGACCAATCACGATTTATAGCAGTGAAATGTTTTTTATATACCGCTCAAAAGCGCCCTATAGATCTTTAACGTGCCATTTATGCAACAAATCCTACTATAAAATCTGCTTTTTTGCCCTTACAGTAACAAATGCGCATATATGTATTTAATTCACACATATGCATATGTTATAAATTTATATTTCTAGAAACTTCCTACTTCCTTGTAGGAAGTAAAGGAAGTATTCTAATCACGAAGAATTCCGGGTTTCATATTTCAACGAAAATATCCATTTTTACCTCTATCGAATGCAATTTAACGACGTTTCTGCGCAACATCTGTACGTAAGGACAGAATAAAAGAGTCTTTTTCCCCAAACGAATTATAAAACTAATTTAAAATGTATTCAGAAGAAATTTTTTTCGTTGCGTCTGTACGTACGTACGTATGTATGTATTTATCTCGCATAACTCAAAAATGAGTAGCCTCAGAACGTTGAAATTTTGTCTATAGAACTGCTATAACATGTATTTGTGCACCTCCCCTTTTGGTTTCAATCGGTCGAACCAAAAGTATATATATATGTATCCACTCTGTTACTCGGTTCAGTGAGCTCAGTATTTTTTATTTCTATATGCTGGTAAATTGTGCATTTGTTGCTTTAAAAATGATTGAATTATGTTCTTCTTATCTTTCGGTTAAGGTTTTTATGCCTTTAATTAATCTGCAGGCAATAGTTGTAGAATTGTTAAAGATTTAAAAGTTGTTTAAGTGCAGCTAAGCCTAATGTTTTTTACCGTAGCAGCCATAATTGTTTACATTTGAAATTCGCAGAATAGTGAATCAAGTTTTTCTGCACCTTCGGTGTCTTTTTGCCGAGTGAGACCAAAAGGAATCTTTTTAGTTTTGTGCGCCGAAAAGTCTGCCTTCTTACCTGCTGGCCGAATTTCTTGTTTTTGGGTAGAAATTGTAATTTTAATTTTAAAAATTGTTTTTTAATTGTTTTAACTCTATTTGGTGTTTTATGTTTTTGTATACATTTCAGTTTTTTAAGAAGATATTTTGATTTTTTTATGTATTTTTGCTTCGCCGCGAAGTGAGAACTGAATAAATTGAATGGGAAATATATCTCTAATGAAATTGGAGGAAATAAGCTTAAATGAAACTCAGGAAAATGTATATAATTTAATATTACGTAAAAGGAAGTCATGTGATACACATCAGATTTTTTTTCTTTCTAGATGTTCCAGTTGAACTGAAGAATCCGACTTCAATAACGACTTCACGACGCTCGAAAGCCAAATATGCCGTAGATAATATCCTGAACACATGCTACGAGTCAATAAATTCTACGGGGCAATCACTAGAAGTACATCTGCAAGATCCAGCGATACTCAGAGTCGTGAAACTTTATTTCAAGACAAGTAAGTTTTTTTCTCTTATTCAAATGCCAAAAAGGTTTTTCTCAAAGTTACCAAACGGAATTAATTTGATCATAACAGTATGCATCCACCAAAATGTAATGAAAAGCCGTTTAATCACCATGCGGGAACGTGTGTTAATGCGAAATCAATATCAATATCAATATTCGCCGTGCGAAACGATGGCAAATATTGATATTGAATTTGAAAGGCAATAACAGTCCCTCTCTAATTTTTCAAATATTTGGCACCTTTTTTGTTAAACTGGCAACCGAGCTTAGTCGCCAAAAGTTGCAAATATAATGAGCCAATCTGAAATACGTAGATTTCAAATGTTGCCAAAAGCTTATCCTGTGTCCGCTTTAATAATGAAATACCAAATTTTTCTTTTATTCATTATTTAGAGTTGGTGCATCAGACTTAAACTCTTTAGACAAGAGCGCACGAGTATGCGCTGAAAGAAAATTATTTGTCAAATGTGTAAATTTAAACTCTTTTATGCCTACAAACGGTAATTTGTGGCAACAATAGCAATTTATCTTTAGAAAAAAAAAAAAAAAAAAGGAAAATGCGAGAGAACTATCGGATTTTATTGTCGGATTAAATGAAGAAGTACAATGCCTAATGATAGCATATGAAAACTCACATTCATGCCACTGTATTCAAATGGTTTACAGAATCTCGTAAAAGGCAAAACTTTCTCTTCGATGAAAAAAATACACGAGAAGACCTGTCTGGCTGTAGTCTTAAAAAAGGTGCCGGCCATACGAAAAATGTTGATGAATGGCAATCATTGTACTTATCAAATGATACAGAAGAAACTTAACATTGGCTCGCCATCTATGAGAATTCTATTAGTGAAAAATTCTATTCATCTATTCGTGAAGAGCTGCATATGAAAACATTACTTCGTCGTTGTGTCCCCCTTAAATTATAAGAATGCCAAAATGAAGGTATGTCAGAATCAGTAAAAAAAACACTTCAAATTACTTAATGATGGTGGTCACCATATCGTTTTTAAATCGAAACTGGTAATGAAACAACGTAAAAATCATTTTCTGATGCTAAACAAGTCGAGAAAGTAATGTATGCGCCTTTGAATACGACGCGATACTAACAAAGTTGAGAGAACAATGAGAAATGAAAAAAGGCAATAACGTATGCCGGGTTTTTTTTAGTCCAAAGGGATTTGAATCCCGAAGGACTATTAGTTTCGTTTTGGCATTTTGCGTCGGACTCATAAATGTCGGTTCACTTCTCAAACTGTTGCCACAAAATGTTAGAGTCCTGCATTATATTTGAAGAAATTAAATAATGAAAAACCTGCATAAATGTATGTATATTTCTCGTATTGTGATAAAACAACGGTACATAGAGTCATCGAATTTTGAATAACGTAATCCTCCAACGAATATGAGCATGGGGAAGACCAAATTTGAAATTTGAAATTTGTTTTATGATCGATTTCCTATTTTTTTAAAACTTTGACGAATTTTTGATTAACAAACTCAAGGATTTCAAAGCGAGCAATGGCAACGTTGTGCAGAAAAAACATTTTTATCTCCAGCGCGTGAGTCTCTGTATCGGAAATTCTAAAGATAGACTCGTTTTAAAACTATTTTTCGATATTGCTGTTGCACTGGATCTTATGGTTTAAGTGCGAGGAACATGATATTTAATAAAGAAAGGTAACACGCAAAATGTTAAAAAACGTCCCTTTGGACGTAATTTAAAATCTGAAACATTTCAGTTTTTTTTTTTTTTTTTTTTTTTTTCCCAGAAGTACAGAAATCGTCAAAGTCACCTAGTTAGAGGAACAGCTGACTGATTCGCCGCTAGACGTCTTCCAGAAATTCTTTAAGAAGTGAAAATTGGAGGGGTCATACTTCACCATGATAATGCATCTTCTCATTCAGCAAGGATTACGACTGAATTTCTAGAATAAAAGAACATGAAATGAATAAAAGCACATTAAATTGATAGAATATCCATCCTATCCTCCTGATCTTGCTACGTGTGACTTTTGATCTTTGAAATAAAATTTACGTGGACTTTGTGTTCAATCCTATGATGAATTTAATGAGACCTTCAAAGCATATTTTTCATCGATTCCAAGAAACAAATAGCTTGAAGCATTTAATCTTTGTAAATTTGCCTACAAAAATGTATTGATATTAGAGGAAACTACTTAGAACTCTCTTAAGATATGCTAAATTTAAATTGTACCATGTAGCTAGATCTAAAAAATTTCAGAGTAATATCAAAGGCATCCGTCGTAACATCAAAGATGGATACAAATAACATGAGTTAAATATAACTGATAATTTTTAATTGACTATTCAAGCCAATTATTGGTGCGATTAACGTGTCTCGAAATGCTGTCTCTAAGACGGTAATATGCTTCGCTTCATCACTCATAAATAAATGTTTTAAATTCTAACATAGCCTAAACATCGCATGGATTCATAATTGGATGTTGGGAAGGCCACATATGAAGAATATGTTGACTGACTGCCCAATAGGCCTACTTGAAAGTCAGTTAGCGAATTTTCACTAAGACTAAAAGATGAATAGAACAGAGGAAGGGTGTAAAAGACCCTTTTGTTTAACTCAATTATTTACAGACGGCACAGTCTTTGTGCTTAAAAATCCACAAAGCACTTGTAGCAATAAAACTAAAGATAATAGTAAGCTAACCTAAATTTAAAGACAAGCTAGTAGTTCAAGACTACACAAATTAATTTAACACAGCTGGTTTATAAGGTATTTCTCTCGCCTTCCTAGCGTGCCTTCGTGGTGTAGTGGTTCTGCATGCTGGGCCGGTATTCCAGAGGTCCGTGGTTCGATTCCCGACGAAGGCGATTGCTTGTTTTTCATCTTATCTGCTTCCAAAAAACTCCTAATGACTCTAAAGTGGCGCCCGAACTAAAAAGGGTGTTGGATGATGAGTCTCCTCACCCAGGATTTGGCGATTGGGTCTTCAAAAACCCCAGTTGCCCTTTAAAAGGGGAGAGTATATAAGGTATTTGTCCCGCCTTCCTATCGTGCCTTCGTGGTGTAGTGGTTCTGCACGCTAGGCCGGTGTTCCAGAGGTCCATGGTTCGATTATTGACAAAGACGATTGCTCATTTTTCCTCTTGCCTGCTCCCAAAAAAATCCTAATGACTCTACAGGTTGACTTAAAAACCTACAATTGGCGTGATAATAAACTTCGGAGGCAAGTACGCGAAGCCGAGATCCAGAATTCAAACTACTGGTAAAAATAAGAACGTGCGCACTGAATAGTGAAACACGCTCTGACTAACATGTTCGCTACTTCAGTTTAAATACACGCTCGTTCACCATAACTCATTCGCATCTTGGCGAAAAAATGCGAAAGAAACAAGAAATGACAGAAAAAGCTGAAAAATTAAAATAACTATTAGTGAAAATAATATAAACCCTATATCCTTAACACATCGTACAATGCGTGAAGAATCTCAATCTTGCAAAAAGATGGTGCTTGCAAGACAACGGCATACTTGCAAAGTCGGAGTAATTTCATTCTCTAAAAACCGCATGTTACTGTCCAATGTTCGGAGTAAAATCTTTGGAGATATTTCTCCAAAGATTTTATTTATTGCTCCAAAGATTTTATTTATTCCAAAGATTTAATTTATTGCTGTTTAATCTTGGGGTGATATTTCACCCCAAGATTAAATAGCAATAAATTTACGCCATGCCGTTTTTTTTTTTTGGGGGGGGGGGGGGGAATACGAAGGCTAATATAAGATCGAGGACAGATTTTATGAAACTGTGTACGGCAGTTGTAAGTATTCACTGAACAGTCCAAATGAACATAACGCCTTATGCGTGCAGAGAATTTCCAAAGCCATTTCATATCGGTCTCACGATGAGCAAGCTATAGTAAGAACTTTGGTCGTGGTTCAAATCATGTGGAAATAACTCTACTCTACTCTGCTCTTTAACGAGATGACTCCAACGTAAGATCCGTATATAGATTAAATGGATTAAGTGATCCTGATGGTATATATATCTTTATTGAATCTTAGTAAGAAATTTACATAAATTATTAATTTACATCTAGAAGTAACTACTGCACAAGTCAAAGTATGTAAGGATAATATCGGAAGACATTGTGGACATCTGAATCTGGTTTATCCAATAGTTGTGCTACTCAGCGAATATGGTATTAGTAGCATAACGTATTAGACTTGAAGTGGATAAGCCCGCTGAATACCAGTAATTTGAGCTGGGTTCGCAGTTTGACGAACGGGCTGACTAAATAGGTATTTTTATGTTTTTTTCTTCCGTGTAACGTGAGTATGAAACCGTCTGCCCTAAAACAATCTGTCACAAATATTTTTATATGATTTGCCATAATTAAACTTCATATCCAATCCAATTCCCCTAAATTCTTTTAGATAAACGGATTTTTATGGTGTACATTTTTTACTGAAAAACGTTAAATATGACTTACTTAATGCAGAAATTTTTATATTCATATTCGCTTAAAGCCTTAAGCTTACACTATAAGGTATTTCTCCCGCCTTCTTGACGAGCCTTCGTGGTGTAGTGGTCTGCACGCTCAGCGCGTAATTGAAAGGTCCGCGGTTCGATTCCCGGCGAAGGCGTTGCTAATTTTTCATCTTGTCTGCTTCCAAAACAAAGTCCTAATGTCTCTGCAGTGTCGCCCGAACTAAAAGAGTGTTGGATGATGATTCTCCTCACCCAGGATTTGGCGATTGGAACCCCTAAAAAACTCAGTCGCCGTTGGAAAGGGGGGAGTATATAATGTATTTCGCCCGCCTTCTTAGCGAGCCTTTGTGGTGTAGTGGTCTGCACGCTGAGCGCGTAATTGAGAGGTTCGTGGTTCGATTCCCGGCGAAGGCATGTCTAATTTTTCCTCTTGCCTGCTTCCAAAAATACCTAATGTCTCTAAAACACAAGCGCATGGGATAGATGAAACTGTAAAATCATTAGGTTGTTTTGAAGCTGAAAGA